CCCTGGGCTAAGGAGGCTTTTTTTTTTTTTTTAACTAATGAGATCAATAAATGTATAAGAAAAATTTTGAAACTAGGGATGCCCTTAGGCACTAGTCCAGCTGGGCTGGGACTATGTAATGTCCTTTGTGTGGACAGAGCCGGGTTCAGTGCCTGGCTCACTGGCTCTACCTCCTTTCCTCAGTAAAGTAAGGATGGCAACAGTTCTTGCATCATGGGATTACAGAGAAAGGCATTAGCCTTCTGCCTGGCATGTAGTAAGTACTGAACAAACATGTCACTATTATGAGGAAAAGTTCTAAGAAATTTTTTTACAGCTCAGCCAGGCACTGAGGGCTGCAACCCTTGCTATAAACATTGCTGTCCCACTCTTAGGACTACCTCTGAGCTGGATTGGGCCACAGGAAACAGACAAGAGGGGCCTCGTAACTGCCATGTGGCCTGGAGACTGCTGTTCACACTCAGACTTTAAACGTTTGGGCTGTTTACTTGGAAAGAAATGATGATTAATTTCCACTCCTCTTTATGTGCTGTGGTTGGGGTGGGTGGGGTGAAGCCAGTATCTTGGCTTTAAGAACTGAAATTTGTGCCTCAGGAGGAAGTAGGACAAAGAGAGGGGGTAGTTACAGGAAGAGAAACGCAACTGAAACCACTCGGGCTTTCTGAGGAGGTGGTGGCTGGGTGATGCCTCCGCCCAGCTCCGGCACCTGTGGTGTATGCGCAGCCTCTACATCACCAGTCACTCCCACAGCCTGAGTGTACAGAATGCACAGAGGAGAGGCTGCCTGCTTGGAGAGGAGCTGTCTTCTGAGAGTGGAGACTCAGGGTCACAGAGGAGCAAAAGAAGGCCCGCAGCTGTGCACTGAGGATCTATCCATAGGCCTCAACCATACTAAGACCCTGTCCCTCCTGCAGGCTGGCCAGGCTGCCCTTCCACACCCCGAACACTAGCAAGGGCTTAGGTTTCTAGGACTCTCAGACCTGCAGCTGGAGCCCCACTGGGTGGGCTTGGGCCAGTGACTCAGCCCCTTCAAACCCCTGCCCACTTACCTCTTTCGTAGAGGAAGCACAGTGCACCTGACATGTGCTCCAGGCTGGCACCCAGGGCAGTATTCCTCCTTCCCGTCTGGCTGCCTTTGACACTCACCTTAACCTCACTACACCTGCAGAAAATGCTGTGTGGGGAAGAGGTAGAGGTGAGGTGCCCTGGGCAGAACAGGGTTAGGAGCAGCACCTCCAAGGACTTGATTCCATCCTTCCTCTCCCAGTCCCTACTTTGCCACAAAAAGAAGCACCATCTCAGAGGGAAGGGAGCCAGAGGAGCAGAGGAGAAACCTGAAGAGAGGCTGAGCCTCCAACTCAGGCCCCATTCTGACTTCCTCCAGCTGGTGAGGGCACCCAGCCTACTGCTTAACTTCTGTATCTCACATCAGAAGTGGGGATGCAGACCTGGCCAAGTATGAGCCTGCCCAGGGGAAGTGGCACTGGGCTGTGCACACTGAGGGCAGAACAGGGTCTTAGACACTTTCTGCTGTGGGCAGTGGCTCCTGGTGGTTACGAGTACCAGCTCCTACAGCCTGACAACCCCTGCATGTAGAATCCTGGCTCTGCCCAGGATGAGCCACGTTCTCTGTCCATGCCTCAATTTCCCATCTGCAAAGCAGAGAAGGCTAACTACGGCACGTACTTCAGAGGGCTGTGAGGAAGATGAACACATACAAGCAAAGTGCTCAACAAGTGCCTAGTGCAAATTTAGCACTTAATAAGGGGCACAAATTATTCAACGGGATACGCATTACGTGACAAATGGGGAAAGAACCTTGAAATTAGAACTGTCCCCTCCCACAAACTCCACTCCCTGGGGCTTCCAACTACAACCCACCCTGCTGCCCTTTGTGCCTGTGAGGCTCTTGGGAGGGACCTCTCCTCAGCTCTGAGTGCAAGAGTCACCAACTGTTTTCCGTACAGGTCAAGACAGCAAATATTACAGGTTTTGCCATAAGGTCTCAATCACCACCACTCAACTCTGTGGTGAGACAATTCTGTGAGTGCCTGGGTGTGGCTGTGTCCTAATAAATTTTATTTACAAAAACGGGCTGCAGCTCCTTTCCACACCGGCACAGGCAGGGAGCAGAGAACAGCATCAGCATTCCTTGGAGTCCCAGACGCTCCCCCGGAGTTCCTAACTGGCAAGGAGAGGAGCTTCAGGCAGCAGCCCTGGGCACAGCAGGGAAGGGCAATGGCACTGCCTCAGCAATCAAAACAGGAACCAGCTTGCTGGGCCACCATCTCCAAAGATGATGTTCACAACCGCGACAGGACTTAGAAGCAGCTGTGGAAGGGGCAGAGGCAGCTGGGCTCCTTAACACCAGGCTGTGACAGTCTTGCAGGCAGTCACACAGCCAACTTCCAGATGAGCCTCCTTGGCTCCCTGGCCCCAGATGGGACACCAACACTCCCTGGGCTACACTTAGGAAATCAAAAAGAGAAATAAAAGGTATGATCTGGCCCTGCACTTTGTCCAGCAGTGGACTATGTGAAAAATAAGGGATAACAATACAGTTTCTGAGCAGATGTGATGTACCAGGAACCCGGTTATTCTGATCTGATTGATCCCCACCATAGCCAGGAATAAGAGTTTCTGAGAGCTCAGAGGACTTGCCCAGGGCTCCATGGGCTCTGGAAGCTGAGCTGGAACTCACTCCCAAGGGGTGGCTCAGGGTTGGACATCCCAGCCTTCTGCTCTGCCAGGTGGGAGGGGAGAGGGACCAGCATCCTGCCTCCCTTTTCTTACCACTGGGGAGACAGCAGCCCTCCTGCCCCTCAACAGCACCAACAGAGAGGAAGGGGGGACAGGCTTCCCCAAGGTCCGTGCCCATCCGCTTGCAACAGCCATCTCAGACACCTCTACCTTCTGCAAGGGGCCTCACCATGGGATTCTGGAAATTCTGGGCAAGGGACTTCACTTTCTTCTCTTCCAGGCAGTTGAGGACTTAAGCTCAGAGGCTTTGGACACCCAGAAAGGAATGTAGCTCTGGTGCGATGGCTCTGAGTTGGACAGAAATGGCCACAGGATGGAAATGCTAAGCCCTGTGTTTCAGCCAGATTCCTCTCAGAGGCTCAGAGCATCCAGATGCCCCCAAATGAGGACTCTGCACCTAACAGTCTGGGAAACCCCACAACCTCTGTCTTCCCCTAGAGCTCTACTACCTTCCTCACTCAGGCTTCTGTTCTATAGTTAGATGTCTGCAATCTACTGTTTCAACAGCAGGCGTATTTGGCCACCGGCCCTCTCCTGTAGACTCCAGCTATGCTAGAACCCCTGGCCACCCCTGCCAGATCCTCATGAACCTGGGGCCCAGGAGCCAGCCCATGTCTGACTCTCCTGGCTGCAGGCCCCAGGCTTTCATGTGCCTGGCCCCACCTTGCCCTGAGCTGGTCTCAGAAGTGGGCTTAGCCACCTTCCCCTCCACTCCCACAGTGGGCAACTTTATGGGGAAAAGAGATGTGCAGCCGAGTAAGTCACAGAAGAAAAGGCTGACTATAAGCAGTGTATACTTCAGATACTAGTTTTGGTTTTAAAACAGAAAACAAAAACCAAAAAACAACTACGTATCTGTACACAGAAAAATAGGAAAGACATACACCAAAATGTTAATAGTGAATACCCAGAGTAAGGGGTCCACAAAGGGTCAGGCAGGGGATGAAGTCGAGGTGAGCAACTGGCAGCCAGTCTAACCAGTCCTACATAACGGAGCCGGAGCTGCTGTAATGAACCCACAAAGGACAGCAAGTCCAGAGAGGGCACAGAGACTCTGCCTCCCCCACATTCCTCCCACTGCTAATCCTGACCTTGTTTTATAGCCCCGTCACCTAGTGAGCAAGCTGCTGTCCTGGGTCTGTGAGCTGCTCTAACCTGTTTGAGTAAGGTTCTGTGGGAAGCTGATTGCGGTCAAGTCGGACAGAATGTGCAGGTGATGCGGGGACCTGCTACTTGTGACTGGCAGCTGAGGGGCAGTCTTGTGAAAGCTGTGCCAGTGCTGGTCAGTGTCAGCACTCAGGTGGAGGAAACACCTGCATGGCCCCCCCAACTGCCATGCAGGGAGGCTGAGCCGTGAGCCCTGGTGTGTGACAAGCCTCCCCTCCTGTGGGATGGGCTGCACTCAGCACATGTGAGTCCCCACCTCTTGCTGGTGACAATGGTGGAAGACTGTTGACTGTGCAAAGGAAGGTGCTGAGGGGGGCCTAAATCTCTGCTGCAGAGACAGACAGGAATCCCCCCTCTGCCCGAATAAGGGTCCTGCAGGCACAGGGCTGCCTTGGAGTCATGTGGCTCCTTACTGACTCCGTAGCTACTCCTGCCACCACTCCCCCATGAACCACCACTCCCCACCTGACAACCAACACCAGCCACTCTGTCCTCTACTCTTGAGGGATGCTGTTTATCCAGGAGCAAGCGACCTAGGCAGCATTCTGGACTCCAGGTTCCTGGGGCTCAGGCAGGTGAGTCTTCCCAGAGTCCCCCAAAACAGTGCACAGTTAAGCAGTCTTCCTACTCTCTTATCCACAGCAGTACCCCAAAATTCCAACAGCCCTTTATTTTCACCATCCTCCCCTCATAGCTCACCATCCCTTAGAAGCTGGTATGCGTGAGAACCAGCTTTCCCATCTGATATTTTCCCACCTGAACCTTCCCACTCCTTGACAAGAGGGAACACCACCAGCCGCACACCTACCAGCCAGTTCCACGCGCTCCTCCCCACATCTCTATGAGGCCCCAGTTCCCACGTGCCCCACTGAGGAAAGCCACTGTGGGTAATGAGGAGACTCATAGTGGGGACACGCTCCTTCCCAGCGTGTGCAGGCTTTATTGCTCCAGCAGCTTCCCAAAACTTGGCCTCTGCATGTCCCCACCAGACAAGACGTGACATGAGCCGGCCTGCTGCATCCTCTCCGAGACCATGGGGACACACTGGCCCTGCTCTGCCGCCAGCCACCTACCCCTTCTTCAGGTTTTTCACGTAGGCGCTCTGGAGGGCGGCTTCTAGGAAGTAGGTGAGCTCGTAGTCAGCCTGGTGGGAGCCCTTCAGGTGCCTGGACGTGTTGTTGTTTGTGGTCTGAGAAGGGGAACAAAGAGGGAGGTGTTGTCTCAAAGTTTGGAGGGAGAGAGACCTGGAGTAAGAGTCACCCCAGCCAGAGGAAGGGGCCTTACCATCATGCAGTGTAGACAAAACTCAGCCCAACTCACTTTAATTTAAACTAGAGTCAGGAGGATCAAAGTTCAAGCCCAGCCTTGGCCACTTAGTGACCTTCGCAAGACAGTCTCAAAACAAAAAAATTAAAAACAACTAGGGCTATAGCTCAGCATGAAGGCCCAGGGCTCAATCCCCAATGCCACAAAAAGTAAAAATAAAAAATAAGTATTTCTAAAGCTTTCTGCCCCCAGCCAAATGTTGAAAGCCCCTTGTCTAATGTGATTTATTCAACAATCACAGAGCTTTAAATTCATTAGCTCATTCCATCTTTAGAGCAACCCTATCAGGTAGGAACCAGCACCCTCACTTCACAGGGTGGGACACTGAGGCAGAGTTAACCTGGCTGAGGGAAGCAGAGCCAGGCAGTCAGCCTCTAGCATCTACGCTGTGTGGATATCCTGTTGGCTCCCAGCAGGCATGGAGAAGTCACTGCCCATCTGCTACACAAATCTCCCCTCCCTCGGGGCAGGGACTATGCCCCCTAAGTTCCAATGCTGTCCACACCTTCCAGATAGGAAAGGAGGAGAAAGAAAACTTCTAGAATAGCCTCACAGGCCTTACTGAGGGATCACAACAGCTCTCCGAGGCTGATTTTTGCCTGTCTTTTACTGGGGAAGAAACTAAGGCTGAGAACATGCTAAAAGTCACAAGTGGTGAGGGCCTGGACCACCAACTCAAGTCTGACCAGATAGAATGCAGGCTTCTTCTACTTCCTAATGCATCCCATATGTAGGGATGCGTCCCATCCCACCCTCTGCCAGGCCCTGCACCATCCCTGCCACACAGGCTCAGAACTCGTCAGGAGCATCCCAGAGCAGAGACTTTGGCATTGGTAAAAGCTGGGGAGCAGTTAATCATTAACTGGGTGTCACTTAAACCTCAGTGCTGACAGGGCCACCCAGCCTCCCTGACAGCCCTGCCTCAGGAGGCCCCTTCTCCTTCCTGATCTGGAAGAAAAGGTCAATGAGCCACTCAGCTTATCTGTCAGAATCAAGGTAGAGTTGAGAGGTTCTTAGCCTCTCAGTATCTCCAGGACTGAGTCTCTGTGGGGAGCCACGTGGCATTTCTGAGAGGCACAAAGTTTTACAGCCTACACGCCTTCAACTGGAGATACAGTTGTCGGGCTGCCTGCTGGCCTACTGAGACATTAGTCCAGGCCTGGGCACCATTCCATCACATCAACTGAATTCCTTTCAAAAGTCCGAAGTCCTGGCTTCCAGCTGTGTGGGAGATTACATCTTTTTCATGAAAATTTCTTTCAAATCACAAACAATTCAATTGTAGTGTCCCTAAAATACTGTTGTCTAGGAGGTCACTTAGAGGTCAGGTCTCTGAGCCATTCTGCCAGGAAACGGCACTCAAATTCTGGACTTGCAATCACTTCTCCTTTCCTCTTGCAATCCAACCAAGCAGAGGGGCTCTGGGGCAGTAGCTATCAACAGGGGAAGGACATCTGGCAGTCTCCAGAGACACTTGGATTTGTCACAGTGGGGGTGTGTGCCGCTGGCATCCTATGGTAGCTGTTAACACCCTACGATCTGGGAAGCAGCCCCCACAGCAAAGACCGCTCCAGACTCAATGTCAACAATGTTGAGATCAAGAATCCCTGTACTCCAGGAAGAGACAGGCCTATGGGGTCCATCACCAAAGTGGGTACTGGGCTGCCTTCCTCGCAGCTGCCACAAAGGAGGCTCCAATGTCTCCTAGACATGAAGTCCCTCAGCTCATGACATGACACTACTCTGTCCTTCGAAGAGGGCCAGTCCTAACCTGTGCTGCTAGAGACCCTGCCGGATAACATCTATGAACTTCCACCCCTCTCTCCCAGTATTAGAGCCACACGCCCTGTGTTCTTGCCAGTGTCACTTACTTATGAACTCCATCAAGTTATTCAGAGCCTCTGTAAGCTCAACTTTCCTCACCTGCAAAATGGGAACAGCAGCAGCACCTACTTTGTCAATGTGAGGCTTAAGTTACAGAATGCAGGGTTAGTCCTCAGAGTAGTGTGCAACACGAGGCCAGTACTCAGGACACATTCGCGGTCTCTGCTGAATGTAGCTGTCTGTCTTCCCCTCAGGAAGCCTGAGCCCCCAGGAGAGGAAGGACTGGGCACACCCCACAGCGAGCTCCAGCAGGTGGAAGAGATGAAGGTGGTTACAACAGGTGAGGTCTCAGTGGCGGGTGGGATGGGCTGGGGTCCGGGAGGCCTAATGGCTGGCTCTCAGGTCACCTCTGAAAGGCCTGGAGAATATGCCCCAGGGCTCCTACCTCCCCTGGGTCTGGCAGGGTGCTTTTGGGGACATCCTCTAGCAGAGAAGGATGTTTAACTGCTAGAAGGAGCCTAAAGCCAGCCCTTCAGAGGACAGTGTGGTGCACAAATGATTTGCCCTCTCTAAATCACAGCTACTAAAGAGACATATACCCCTAGGTTGCAGTGAGGGGTGAATGCTTGAACACCTACAAACAGGGCTGGCACATGTGGTCCCACAAGCTGAGCTCCCATGGAGCTCCTGGCCTCTCACAGGTGACATGAGCCCATTTATTTACTAAAACTATTTCCTGGTGGTAAACAGCTTCCTTCTAATCAAATTAGTGGGATGAAGTGAATTTTCCCCAACCCAGGAAGCTGAGTGTCTTGGAAGAACAGCAGGTTCCTTTTTCTAATTAGTATGAGGTAACCCAGAGGCTCCGAGCAGGCGAGTAGAGGTGTTCCACACAGCAGCTCGGTCATGGTGCTGCTCTCCCAGCTCACCTTCTCCAGCTCCTGCAAGAACACCTGAGCCATCCAAGAGGCCCTCTCAAAACAGGTGACCACTTCCTCCTCCCGCTCGGTCAGGCGGCAGCGGGAGGCAATGGAGTTGGGCACGCGTTCCAGGGAGAGACCTGTGGGAGGAAGAGAACACTTCAGACCGGCTCTGCCCAGGCCGAGACTCCAGCCCCTTGCCGGACACAGGCTGGACTCCTTCAAGAACACACAGATGCTTGCTCTGGAGCGGCCAGCAGGAGGCAGAGGTGATGAGCCGGGAGGAGGAAGCAGCTAAAGCAGAGGAGATAAATAGATAGTGGCAGCATGGAGCAAGCAGCAGTGGGCCAAGGGCTGACAATAGCCCAGGTAGGGGCATCATTCTGCGGCAACCCCTCCCTACTCTTGACCACTGCTGCAGGCCAGCTAGCCCTCCTCACGGTCATTGGAAGAAAATATGCACCCTAGGGTGCTCACCCTTTCTATGTGGTGCAGTGGCCATTTGTGAGCAGCTCTCTTCTCCCCCACCAGATGAATGCTCAACTCTGTGCTCCATGAGAGCAAGTGAGAGCCTGTCTGGACAGCTACACCCCAGCCCTGCACCTACGCTGCAGGTACCAAGCTGCGCCCATGGAGCCTGCTGCGACCTCTGTTCAGGTCCCATCTGAGTGTGGTGCACACCTGCTGGTTTTGCCTCCCCACATCCATATCCCATCTTTCAGGGATAGCATGTCCCTTTCCCTTTGATCCTCCTGTAGTCCCGATACAAGGGACATGGTGATTGGGTAAGGGTGCACACATGGCCCCATCAGGGTCAATAAAGACCAGTCCTGGAAGTGCTATTCTGCAGCTGTTAAGCTGGTACAGAAACTGGCCTGAAAATGTTAGAGAAATCTGCCTAAAAATGAAGTCTACACAATGTAAATATGGTTAAGATGATGTCTTTTTTTTTTTTTTTTTTTGGTACCAGGGATGGAACTCTGGACCTTGCGCTTTCGAGGCAGGTATGGCACCACTGAGCTAAATCCCCAGCCCCATGATCATGAATTTTTTTTTTTTTTTTTTTTTTTTTTTTGGTACCAGGGATGGAACTCTGGACCTTGCGCTTTCGAGGCAGGTATGGCACCACTGAGCTAAATCCCCAGCCCCATGATCATGAAGTTTTTAAATTTAATTCATAAGATATAGCTCCAAATAAAAAATTAAATAAAAAATCCCCCAAAACCCTAAAAGAATCAATCTACCAAAGAAGAGAATTGTTAAACTTATTAGGAAACAGAAAAAGGATTAGATACACAGAATAAGGATGAAACATGATAGAAAAGGGCAGATTCCTAGAGACACTGAACTCTGCCCCCCTGACACTTTTTCCAGTGTATGAGCCAGTAACCACACACCCCCACACATGCACTTTCTTTTTTCTTTTGCCAGAGTCCTTTTGAATTGCTCTCCTGTTGCTTACAACTAACACAGGCCTTACTAGAGAACGGTGCCTTCAGAGTTATCTCTCCCGAAGGGACAGAACCCAAGTCCATCGCATCTCTGTACCTTGTGCGGTACCTTCTGCGTGATCAGTGTTCAAGTTGACTTTCTAAAGGGCTGTATAAGGACACAGTCCTCAACTGTTTCTTGCCCTGTAAGCCCCAACACCTGAGGGATGACTAAGTCATTAACACTTTGGATCTCTGTCCCTCACCTCACTGAGGCACTGTCTCTGAGTGGATGACCACACTGGCCTCCTAACTGGCCTCCCTGCCTCAGCCTCACTCCACTGTGACCCATCCTGCACACTGCTTCCACAGGGAATTTTTAAAAACTCATCACCAGGTGTTTGGAGACCTATTCCTGTCACTCTTCACCCTGTTCTCGCCCTCCCTGCTATATCCACACCCAACCTCCTGTTCCCCCTGCTGCACTGGGAGATGCCTTCCTGACAGCTCAAGTTGCTCTTCCTGCCAGGAATTTACCCCCTTCCCTGACAGTCCGCTGGAATATCTAAATTATTTCTCACCCTCTGACCCTCTGGATGACACCTCCTCTATGACCTCCCCCCACTTGCCCTGGTATAGCTGACTGTTCCTTTCTTGGCCCTGGCCTACATTTTCACATTCTTGTCTCACTGTGTCTTACACTTACTTTTTTCACCCATTTTCCAACCAGACTGTTGGCTCTTTCAAAGCATCAGCCCGACTGTATTCACCTTTCTCCCACCTAGTGCACAGTAGGTACCAGACAAGCACTGGAGGGCTGGAGAAAAAACAGCCTGATCATGGATAACAAAGTACAAAGAAAAAGAAACACAGAAAAAGAATGGTATTGTTTTTCTTGATTAGATTTCAACACACAGGGATTCAGTGACCTTATCCTCCTCAGGATGAGGTATGACTAGGTCCAAAGGTCAGGGCACCTCGGCCTAGGGGAAGAAGAGCACAGAATGTGAGTATCACTGTATATCCTGCCAAATGAGTCACAACCAAGAGAAAAAGTTCCTCTCTCCCAGGGACTAAAGGGGGAGGAGAGAAAAAGGGAGAAGTCCACTCACTTCTGGGGCTGGCCCAGCCTCTCCTCCGTGGATGTGCAGCCTGTCCACCCTGCAAGAAGGTGGAGCCTGACCCAAAAGACCAAACACAAGTGGCAGAACATAGCCAATTCCAAGAAGCACAGAGTAGGTCTTCTTTAACACCACAGTGAACCTGTGTCCCCTGAGAGATACCCTGCAGCTGTGTGCCCTCCTGCCCAGCACTGGGATGGGCATGCCAGCCGCTGGCAGGCTCATCCGCTGTTCCATGTGCCTCCTGTGGGTTAGCCACTGCAAAGGGGGATTCAAGAAGGGTTGGTGGGGGAGACAACACACCATCTTCCCAGTGGTTCATCTGCTCCTCCCATCCCCAGCAGGATCCTCCTCACCATGCTACTCAAAGAATTCCAAGCCCATCCTTCTAGAAAGCTCAAAGAAAGCCACCTCCACTCTGAAGCCTTCCCAAGTGGTTAACCCTCCCTATCTCTGACCTAGGAGAACATGGCTTCATCTCAACTGCGTTGCTTTTTTTTTTTTTTTTTTTTTTT